ACTGGAAAAAACCCTAGTGCCTGCTAACAGATGACTGGTTAAAGAATCTTTGGCACATAAGCACAATGGACTACTATGTCGCTGTTAGAAAAGATGAAGTTATGAATTTTACATACAAATGGTACTACATGGAAAGTATCATGCTAAGCGAAATGAGTCAGAAAGAGAGGGATAGACATAGAAAGACTGCATTCATCTGGGGAACATAAAGTAACAAAATAGGAAACTAACACCCAAGAATGGACGGATTAGTACCAGGAGTTTTGCTCCATGGCTTGGAGGCCAGCCACACACTCTTGGGGAAAATGGAACTCAGATAGAGAAAGAAGAACCTAATAAAGGGTGTTGGGAGGATCCTCCCAGGATGGAGAAGCATGCTGAAAGTAGACTATAGACCAAATATTATTGCCATCAATGCCTTTTCTGCAAACAAAAACGCCCAAAAGGAGAGAGAACAAAAGGGAATACTCTGCCACAGAGGCAGGGTGGGATGGAGTGATGGGGGGTGGGAGGGATACTGGGACCCGTGGTGGTGGAAAATGGGAACTGGTGGAGGGATGGGTATTTGATCATTGTACAATTGAAACCCAAGCACAAAAAATTTGTAAATCTATAACTGTACGTCATCGTGTTTCACTAACAAAAATTTTAAAAAAGCAAATGTAAATGATGGAGAATGGGCACTGGTGGAGGGATGGATACTGGATCATTGTATAACTGAAACCCAAGCACAAAAATTTGTAAGTCTACAACTGTACCTCATGGTGTTTCACTAATAAAAAAAAAAGACAGGCGCATGATTTAATCTTCCCATGCATCTGGGAGGGAGGGAGTTAGCCCAGTGCATTCCCAGAGTCTGTCACCCATTTAAAAATCCACTCCATACTTTGAGAAGCTTTATGCCACGGAACATCAAAACCTCGAGGAAATGGATAAATTCCTACACTCCTACAGACTCCCAAGGCTGAACCAAGAAGACCTGGAATACCTGAACAGACCTATCACCATCAAGGAAATTGAAATGGTAATAAAAATTCTACCCAAGCACAAAAGTTCTGGCCCGGATGGATTCACTAGTAAATTCTTCCAAATCTTTAAAGGGGATTTACTACCAATCCTCTTTAAGCTTTTCCACGAAATTGAAATATCAAGAACACTTCCGAACAGTTTCTACGAAGCAAATATTACACTGATACCAAAAGCAGACAGAGATGCCACAAAGAAAGAGAATTACAGGCCGATATCCCTGATGAACACAGATGCAAAGATCCTCAACAAACTACTAGCAAATAGAATCCAACTACTCATCAAAAAGATCATACACCATGACCAAGTAGGATTCATCCCAGGGATGCAAGGATGGTTTAACGTTCAAAAATCAATCAACATAATCCATCATATCAACAAAAGAAAAGATAAAAAGCATATGCAGAGAAGGCATTTGACAAGATCCAGCACCCCTTTATGATGAAAACCCTAGCCAAAATGGATATAGAGGGGACTTTCCTCAACATAGTTAAAGCCATCTACCACAAACCTACAGCAAGCATCATCCTCAATGGGGAAAAGTGAGAGCCTTCCCTCTAAGATCAGGGGCGAGACAAGGATGTCCACTCTCTCCACTGCTGTTCAATATAGTACTGGAAGTACTTGCAATAGCGATTAGGCAAGAAAAAGATATTAGTGGCATTCAGGTAGGAAAGGAAGAAATCAAGCTCTCACTATTCGCAGATGATATGATACTCTACTTAGAGAACCCAATAACCTCCACCAAAAAACTCCTAGAAACAATAGACTTGTATAGTAAAGTTGCAGGCTATAAAATCAATACCCAAAAGTCCATGGCTTTCCTATATGCAAACAGTGAGAGAGAAGAAAGCTACATGAAAAAAACAATCCCGTTCACAATTGTGCCCCAGAAAATCAAGTACCTAGGAATCAGCTTAACTAAGGAAGTAAAGTACCTGTACAAAGAAAACTACAAAACGCTACTTCAGGAAATAAAAGAGGACATGAGGAAATGGAAATATATCCCCTGCTCATGGGCCGGGAAACTTGACATTGTCCAAATGGCAATACTACCAAAAGCATTGTATAAATTCAATGCAATCCCTATAAGGATACCCATGAAATTCTTAAAAGAAATGGAGCAAACACTCCTGAAATTTATATGGAACAATAAGCCCCCACGAATAGCTAAAGCAATTCTTGGGAAAAAGAAAATGGAAGGAATCAACCTCCCTAACTTCAAACTCTACTACAAAGCAGTAATATTTAAAACAGCATGGTCCTGGAACAAAGGCAGAACTGCAGACCAATGGAACAGGGTTGAATACACTGACATCTCCCCTCAATCATATGATCATCTAATCTTCGATAAAGGTGCAAGAAATGTGACGTGGAGTAAGGAAAGCCTCTTTAACAAATTGTGCTGGCATCACTGGATGGCTAATGCAAAATAATGGGCTCAGAACTCTCCCTAACACCATGTACAAAAGTAAGATCAAAATGGATTAAAGACCTCAACAGCAGACCAGAAACCATAAGGTACATTGAAGACAAAGTTGGCAAAACCCTCCATGACATTGAAGCTAATGGTATTTTCAAAGATGCCACGCCACTGGCCGAGCAAGTGAAAACAGAGATAGATAAATGGGACTATCTTAAACTAAGAAGTTTCTGCACCTCCAAAGGAACAGTGACCAAAATACAAAAACAGTCTACAGAATGGGAAAGGATATTCGCCGAACACACATCTGACAAGGGGTTGATATCAAGAATATACAAAGTACTGGTTGAACTCCACAAGAAGTAAACATCCAACCCCATCAAAAAATGGGGCAATGAAATGAACAGAAACTTTCTCAAAGAAGAAATCTGAATGGCAAAAAAGTACATGAGAAAATGCTCTACATCATTAATCATCAGGGAGATGCAGATCAAAACCACAATGAGATACCATCTCACACCTCAGAGACTGGCCCACATTCAAAAGAACAAAAGCAACTGATGCTGGCGCGGATGTGGGGAGAAAGGAACACTCCTTCACTGTTGGTGGGAATGCCGACTGGTTCAACCCTTTTGGAAAACAGTATGGACGATTCTCAAAAAATTAGAAATTGAGCTCCCATTTGACCCAGCAATACCACTCCTGGGAATATATCCCAGAGAGGCAAAAATGTATAGTCGAAGTGACATCTGCAGTTGTTTGTTCATTGCAGCACTGTTTACAATAGCCAGAATCTGGAAGAAACCTGAGTGCCCGAGAACAGATGACTGGTTAAAGAAACTTTGGTACATCTACACAATGGAGTACTATGTAGCTGTTAGAAAAGATGAAGTCATGAAATTTACATACAAGTGGTACTACATGGAAAGTATCATGCTAAGCAAAATGAGTCAGAAAGAGAGGGATAAACATAGAAAGATTGCATTCATCTGGGGGATATAAAGTAACAAAATGTGAGATTAATACCCAAGAATAGCTGAGATCAGCACCAGGAGGATTAATCCATAGCTTAGAGGCCAGCCGGGCATTCTAGGGGAAAGGGCAGCTCAGATAGAGAAGGGAGCACCAAATAAAGTGTGTTTGGAGGATACTCCCAGGAGGGGAGATACATGTTGAAAGTAGACTATGAGACTATGGACTGAACATGTTTTCCACTCAATGCCTCTTTTGCAGACCACAAAACCCAAAAGGAGAGAGAGAACAAAAGGGAATGCCCTGCCACAGAGGCAGGGTGGGATGGGGGCGGGGGAGGGATATTATCCATGGTGGTGGAAAATGGGACTGATGGAGGGATGGGTATTTGATCATTGTATAATCGAAACCCAAGCACAAAAAAAGTAAATCTACAACTGTACCTCATGGTGTTTCACTAATAAAAAGAAAAAAAATGTTAAAAAAAATCCACTTCAATTGTACTTTCTCAAATAAATACTGAACTTCTTGAACAAACACATTTCCTCTCAGTGCCCGTATAGCAAAGCAAAATGCTCAAAAGGAGAAAGATAGAAAGATTGAGAGAAAGAGAGAGAGAGAGAGAGAATTGCCTGCTATAGAGGCAGGCTTAGGGGTGAGTGGGAAGGAACCTGGGCACATTGCTGGTGGAAAATGTATACCGGTGAAGGGATAGGTGTTGCAATATTGTATGACTGAAATCCTCTAATTAAAAAAGGGTGAAAGAATTAGTTCAACCCAACAAGGTTTCAAAGATACCCAGTCCTGGATCTCCATGCTACTGAATGCCAACTTTGATACTCGGAGTTTCCGCTGAACTGAGTTTTGGAGACAGAGGGACTTCTAGGAAAACAAAAATCAGAAATTTCAAGACCCAAAACACCCTTCACTTCTCCATTGTTTCATTTCAGGAGGAAATGAAGGGATTGTGAGTCCAGGACACATAGAGAGACCCAGAGATGAGAAGGCTGAGGTGCGCCTGTCTAACCACATATAGACTCACTCTTCCTCACTTGGCTCTATTGTTCATCTAAAACTAACTCCTGTCTACATTTACACAGTATATTACTTTTTATATGATCCCTGTGGGTCACTTGTCATTTCCATGAGAGATGTGTTAGACCTTTGAACTTAACAGACATTGACAATTAGTAGAGACAAAGGGGCAGAAAATTCAGGGAGGGGTACCAACCACTCACCCTGGGGTGGGGCTCATTCATGAATGTTCCCAGCATGCTCCTATGGATAGCTCTTTGGGCTACAACCTGACCTAATTTAAGTAGCATCTTAACAGAGTGGGGTGACATAGCACAGAAAAGAACTCTTTATTTGCATTTTAACTTGGCTACCAGAAACCCTGTGGAGTGATTAACATATTGCACTCAGAAATGCACAGTAACGTCATCCAACACGGAATCACAGACCCCACTCCAGCCCCTTGAAAGAGACTCTGCATCTCCACCACAGTCTCTGTTAACCTCTGGGCATACCGACATTTAAAAAGCATTGATCACATATACAAGGACCACCATGCACTCACCTTCACTTTGGCATTGGAGAATGACTTGGGCATAAATTGAATTGGAAGGTGGGAAGTCATAAATCGTGGACCTTTCTGATCCTTTAATACCTCAAATCCTTTTTTTGTCTCTATCCAGGGGGAACGGTCCCAGATTGGCACAGATTGAATCCACTTGGGGTCGCCTTTGGAACGAATCAGGGAAAGAATCTCTATCATCCAGTTTGTTCCTAAATAAAGGACAGAAAATGACAATCGGAAATTTTCTTTGATTTTTAAAAATGCATTGTACTAAATATGGAACAAAAAAGACACCATTTTCACATGTGCATCGCAATTCTATCAACAAAATTTGAGATCTGAATCAAGTATATACAAAGTACTGGTTGAACTCCACAAGAAGAAAACATCCAACCCTATCAGAAAATGGGTCGGCAAACTGAACAGAAACTTCATCAAAGATGAAATTCGAATGGCTAAAAGACACAAGAGAAAATGCTCTACATCATTAATCATCAGGGAGATGCAAATCAAAACAACAATGAGATATCATTTCATGCCACAGAGACTGGCCCACATCCAAAAGAACAAAAGCAACTGGTGCTGGCGTGGATGTGGCGAGAAAGGGACCCTCCTTCACTGCTGGTGGGAATGCCGACTGGTTCAGCCTTCTGGAAAATAGTATGGACGATTCTCAAAAAACTAGAAATTGAGCTCCCATTTTACCCAGCAATTCCACTCCTGGGAATATACCCCAGAGAGGCAAAAAAGTATAGATGAAGCGACATCTGCAGTTGTCTGTTCATTTCAGCACTGTTTACAATAGCTAGAATCTGGAAAAAACCTGAGTGCCCAAGAGCAGATGATTGGTTAAAGAAGCTTTAGTACATCTACACAATGAAATACTATGTAGCTGTCAGAAAGAATGAAGTCATGAAATTTACATACAAGTGGTACTACGTGGAAAGTATCATGCTAGGCGAAATGAGTCAGAAAGAGAGGGATAGACATAGAAAGATTGCATTCATCTGGGGAACATAAAGTAACAAAATAGGAGACTAACACCCAAGAATAGCCGAGATAAGTACCAGGAGGATTACTCTATGGCTTTGAGGACAGCCGCACACGCTACGGGAAAAGGCAGCTCAGATAGAGAAGGAAGCACCAAATAAAGGGTGTTGGGAGGTTCCTCTCAGGATGGGAAATGCGTGATGAGAGTAGACTATAGTCCGAACAAGATTGCACTCAATGTCTCTTTTACAAACCACAGCACTCAAAAGGAGAGAGATAACAAAAGGGAATGCACTGCCACAGTGGTAGGGTGGGATGGGGGGAAGGGGGTTGGGAGAGATACTGGGACTGGTGGTGGTGGAGAATGGGCACTGGTGGAAGGATGGGTATTCGATCATTGTATAACTGAAACCCAAGCACAAAAATTTGTAAGTCTACAACTGTACCTCATGGTGTTTCACTAATAAAAATTTAAGGAAAAAATTGAGATCTGAAAGCAACCCAATTCCCACAAACAATAAGTGAATTAAAAAGATGAGAATTGTACAGATAGTGAGGAATTCTGGTCATCTGGCAGATTAGATGACGTCCAATTGTTCTCATCTCATGTGGAAGTAATGGAGAAATTAAATACCAGGTGACAGAGACACAGCATTGAATTCCGGAAGACTACAGCTTGCCAGAGTTCTGTCCAGACCCCATACAGAGTCAATTCAACCACGGCACCTCAGATAGAGTGGGTGTGTCCTCTCTGCCTGCTCCAGATAAAATCCTGGTGGCTATGAGCTTCCAGAAGAAAAACCCAGGTGCTGGGGTTCAAGAACTAAGACTCCAGGTCACATGATAGCATGGAGATTGGCCCTCCCTTCCTGTCTCCCTGCCCACTTGGGGTCCTGTCTGCCACACCCACGATCTGCCTCCAGGTGCCATCTCAGGGCATCATAAGCCTTGATCCAGAATTGCCCAAATGAATCTCAAAATGAATTAGCTCCCCACAGAGATGCCTCTGGACCCCAACCATTTACAATATAAAAATTCCAGAAGCACATGGCCCCTTTCACAGCCTATCATGATATTCTTATAGGCTATCATATATATTTTATATAATTATATATAAATATATTTATATAACATATAGGGCTGGAGCGATATCACAGTGGTAGGGCGTTCGCCTTACAAGCAGCCAACATGGCCGACCCGAGTTCGATTCCTCCACCCCTCTCGGAGAGCCCGGCAAGCTTCCGAGAGTATTCGATTTGCCAAACACAGTAACAACAAAGTCTCCAATGGAGATGTTACTGGGCCCGCTCGAGCAAATCGACGATCAACGGGAGGGCCTTTACCTTTACCTTTTTTATATAACATATATTCTATATATCATATATAAAATATCATGATATTCATAATGGGCAGTAGAAAATAAATTATTTAGCATCTGGCCTTGTCAGGATGGCTTGACTGGTGGTGGGAAAACTCGAAATAATGGTGGTGCGAAGGTGTAATGGTGGCAAGATTGGTGTTTTAATATTGAATGTAATGAACTAATGTGAACAATCTTATGAAAATAAAATTAAAACAATAATGATAAAAATAATGCCACAGCCATGCTGAGACCTCCTGCCACACGTCCTGGCCTCATGCATGAAGGAACCGGCAGAGGAACCCAGGCATGCGGGTCCTGGGACTGAGATCTCCAAGCCTGCTCGGATCGGGGCTGAGCATCCTCCACCAAAATCCTCCATCTTCCAGTAGGCAGGCGTCACACTCACCAACTGCCCCTGGCGCCAGGTAATCCCATCAATGGCCAAGACCCAGAGACTATAAAACCCAGCTCCCGGAAGTGTGCAGCCGCATTAACGGTGGCACAACATCTTATTATCTCGTTCCTACTTTGGAGAACCCGGCAGGCTACCGAAAGTATCTTGCCTGCACGGCAGAGTCTGACAAACTCCCCTTGGCATATTCAATATGCCAAATACCAATAACGATGAATCTCATTCTCCTAACCCTGAAAGATAATTGAATATGGCACTTTTTAAAATCTCAGGGCTAGGGCAAAGGAGACGTTACTGGTGTCTGCTCGAGGCAATCAATGAACAACAGGGTGATTGTGATCGTGAATAAAAATAAAATGAATAAAAAATAGATACCGGGTTATATAGCTGATAATCAATCAATAAAATAAATACGAAAATAAAGCAGTGGGACTCTGGGAAAGGTACCCCTTAGCCTGCACCCATCGTTTTGACGTTATTGAGGGACGAGTGGTTGAGCAGCGGTGCAGGGCTGTTGCCAATTTGGTGTTGAATTTGGAATGGTGCAGTGTATCCCCAAACAGAAACATTTATACTCTTGAAACACTTTGGTACCTCAGTAAGCAAAGAAACAATGAAATGTCTCAGTGCTGGGGACATGTCTGGAATTCTCTGCCCATTTCCCCATAGTTCTCTTTGTAAGACAGTCTTGACTTACGAGAAGGAGTTTCATACCTGGTTATAAACATTCAAGCAGCACCTTCTACTGAATCCATATAAACTCTCCCTTTACATGCACTTTTAAATATACATATATATGTAAATATATGTATATATATAAAACACCATGATTTACCATATTGTTCAAAATACAATTATTTCAGGTATTAAATGTTCAAACAACATGCCTACCTCTAGTGTGAACTTCCCTCCACCGATGTCCCTGATAACCCACCCACCATCTCACGGTATCGCTTAGGAGGTAAATCAATTTTACTTCCTATGCATTATTACAACACAAAGGCTAATGAAATGATCCAAACTAAGGTCAATAAAAGTTCATTGGTTTTCACTGTTATAATTTCATAATGTTGTTACTGAATTATTGAGGATTTCCTGAGCAGGTTGGTGCTTAGTTGTTCACATTCATTCTTAGCATCTCAAACAGATGAAACTTTTCTTCTCTTTAAATTGTCTTTAGACAATTCTGAGCGTCTGCCTTCCCCTCTTCACTCCTCACATTGTGCTGATCTCGTCCCAAACCCAGGTCTGTTCATCTGCCGGTATTTGAAACCAGGACTTGGATCTCTCCCTGCAAGACCCAGGCGTCCTCCCAGACACCTGGAGAAAAGCAGTTCTAAGTGTCTGCCTTCCCCTCTTCACTCCTCACACTGCGCTGATCTCCTCCCAAACCAAGGTTTTCGTGGGAGGCATGGCCTCTAAACAAGTCAGCATGGCTTCTGTAGAAGTGGGCGTGGCATATTTTTCAGTGCGCCAATGCTCATGCTGCCGCAGGTAGTTTAGCCATACTGAAGAACCTACTCCCCAAGGAACCTAGTCCCCAACCTACACAGCAATATGAAGAAACAACGCAAATCCCCACCACAAGGGGAGGACAGCGGAAAGAATTCAGAAGACTCTGTCGATACTGCTCACCTAAGGGACCTCTCTGACATAGAATTCAGATACAAAGTCTTGAAGATGTTCAATCAACTCAATGAAACAGTCAGACAGACATCTAGTAACATGACAGAAAAAATCGACAAATTACGCAAAGAAATGTAAGAAGAAATGTCATGATTAAAAGATTCCATAGATGAAATGAAAACTCAGTCTCTTCTCTCAACAATAGAATGACCACAGCTGAAGAGAGAATCAGTGAGCTGGAAGATCAGCTGCATCAAGCCAACAGGCAACAACAAACAGTGGCAAGGGACCTCAAAATAGCTCTACAGAGAATCAGAGTCCTAGCAGAAGACTCCAAGAGGAACAACATTAGAATCTCTGGTTTTCACTGGGAAACAATCCCAACATAAAAAACAAGGTGAAACAAATCATTGCTGAAAAATTCCCAGGCTCCACAATGCAGTCATTCAGGTTCAAGGAGCCCGAAGGGTGCCAGCTAAAAGAGACCCTAACAAAAACACTCCAAGACATATCATAGTTAGAATGATTGATGCTGCCAATAGATATACAATAATGCAAGCAGCAAGGGCAAAAAAGGAAATCACATACAAAGGAGCACCCCTTAGATTCACAGCAGATCTATCAGAGGAAACCCTCCAAGCCCTAAGGCAGTGGCGAGATATAGTGAAAAAACTCAATGAAATGAATACTTCACCAAGAATACTCTATCCGGCTGAACGCTCACTCAAAATCGAAGGAACAGTACACTATTTTCAAGACAAACAGCAGTTCAGGAAATTCAGAGACTCAAAAACAAACGTAAAACAAGGGCTAAAGGGGCTACTGTAAGACAAAACAAACCCTACAAACACAACACACCCTTACATAAAGATGACACAAAATCCCATAAAAATAATTTCTCTCAATGTCAACGATCTAAATACACCAATTAAGAGACACAAAGTGGCAAAATGGATTCAGAGACAGAACCCAACATTCTGCTGCCTACAAGAAACACATGTCAACAGACAGAGAAAACATAGACTCAAAGTCAAAGAATGGAAAACAATCCTGCAAGCAAACAGCTCCCTCAAAAAAGCTGGGATGGCCATACTAGTATCCGGCAGCATTAATTTAGCTTTGAAAAAGATTAGAATGGACAGCGGAGGCTATTTTCTCTTCATCAAGGGATACATACAACAGGAAGAAATCACACTCTTAAATGTATACGTACCAAATGAGGGAACAGCTAAATATTTAAAACAACTGCTAACAGATTTTAAGGAGGACATTGTTAGCAACACAATAGTAGCTGGAGATTTCAACATCACCTTATCACCTCTAGATAGATCAACAAGAACAAAACTCAGCAAGGAAACATTGGCTTTGAAAGAAGAAATAGAAGAGAAAGGGCTTATAGACTTATACAGGGCTTTACACCCCAAAAAGAAAGAACACACATTCTTCTCCAGTGCGCATAGATCATTTTCCAAATTAGTCCATGTCCTAGGCCACAAAACATACCTAAATAGAATCAGAAAGATAGAAATAGTATCAACAATCTTTTCAGATCATGATGCACTGAGATTAGAAGTGAATCACACACAGACACGGAGAACCAAATCAAACACATGGAAATTAAACAACTCAATTAACAACGAGTGGATCAGGAAGGAAGTCAAGGACGAAAACAAAAGACACATGGAAGTAAATGAGAATGAAGACACGAGTTACCAGACTTATGGGATGCAGCGAAAGTCATGTTAAGGGGAAAATTTATAGCTCTGCAAGCATATCTCAGGAAAAAAGAAAGCATGCACATAAACAACTTGACTTCACAGTTCAAGATTTTAGAAAAGGATGAACAGAAAGAGCCCAAAGTGGGCAGAAGGAAAGAGATCATAAAACTTATAGCAGAAATCAATGGCATAGAAACCAAAGAAACAATTCGAAAGATCAATGAAACCAAGAGCTGGTTCTTCAAGAAAATAAATAAGATAGATAAACCACTAGCAACAATCACAAAGAAACAGAGAGAACCCTAATAAATCGAATCAGAAATAAGAATGGGATATCACAACAGAAACCAAAGAAATTCAAAAGATCATCAGAGACTACTTTGAAAGTCTGTATGCCACGATAGAAGAAAACCTAGAATAAATGGATAAATTCCTAGATTCCTATCATCTCCCAAAGCTGAATCAAGAAAATACAGAGTACCTGAATAGACCTATTCACATCAAGGAAATTGAAACTGTAATCAAAAGTCTTCCCAAAAACAAAAGCCCAGGTCCAGATAGATTTACTAGCGAATTTTTTCAAACATTTAAAGAGGACCTACTGCCAGTTTTTCTCAAGATTTTCCAGGAAATTGAAAAAACGAAAACTCTTCCAAACAGTTTCTATGAAGCCCATATCTCCCTCATACCAAAAGGAAACAAAGACACCACAAGAAAAGAAAACTACAGGCCGATATCCCTGATGAACACAGATGTGAAGATTCTCAACAAAATACTAGCAAATAGAAATCAACAACTCATCAAAAAGATCATACACCATGACAAGTGGGATTGATCCCGGGGATGCAAGGATGGTTCAACATTTGAAAATCAATCAACATAATCCATCATATCAACCAAAGAAAAGATAAAAATCTTATGATCATATCAATAGATGCAGAGAAAGCACTTGACAGGATTCATCACCGATTCATGATGAAAACACTTGCTAAAATGGGGGTAGAGGGGACTTTCCTCAATATAGTTAAAGCTATCTACCACAAACCGACAGCAAACATGATCCTCAATGGAGAAAAACTGAGAACCTTCCCCCTAAGATAAGGGACGAGACAAGGATGCCCACTCTCTCCACTACTGTTCAATATAGGACTGGAAATACTTGCAATAGTGATTAGGCAAGAAAAAGATGTTAAGGGCATCCAGGTAGGAAGGAAGAAATCAAGCTCTCACTATTCACAGATGATATGATACTATACTTAGAGAACCCTAAAACCTCTACCAAGAAACTCCTAGAAACAATAGACTTGTATAGTAAAGTGGCAGGCTATAAAATCAATACCCAAAAATTCACGGCTTTCCTATACGCAAATAGTGAAAGAGAAGAAAGTGACATGAAGAAAACAATGCCATTCACAATTGTGCCCCAGAAAATCAAATACCGGGGAATCAGCTTAACTAAGGAATTAAAGGATCTGTACAAAGAAAACTACAAAACGCTACTTCAGGAAATAAAAGAGGACATGAGGAAATGGAAAGATATCCCCTGCTCATGGGTCGGGAGACTTAACATTGTCAAAATGGCAATACTACCGAAAGCATTGTATAAATTCAATGCAATCCCTATAAGGATACCCATGACATTCTTCAAAGAAATGGAGCAAACACTCCTGAAATTTATATGGAACAATTAGCCCCCACGAATAGCTAAAGCAATTCTTGGGAAAAAGAAAATGGAGGAATCAACATCCCGAACTTCAATCTCTACTACAAAGCAGAAATAATTAAAACAGCATGGTACTGGAACAAAGGCAGAGCTGCAGACCAATGGAACAGAATTGAATATACCGACATCTCCTCCCAAGCATATGATCATCTATTCTTCGATAAGGGGCCAAGAAAAGTGAAATGGAGCAGGGAAAGCCTCTTTAATAAATTGTGCTGACAAAATTGGACGGCTACATGCAAAAAAGTGGGCTCAGAACTCTGCCTAATGCCATGTACAAAAGTAAGATCAAAATGGCTTTATGACCTCAGCATCAGACCGGAATCCATAAAGTTCATTGAAGACAAAGTTGAAAAAACCCTCCATGATATTGAAGCTAATGGTATCTTTAAAGATATCATGCCACTGGCCAAGCAAGTGAAAACAGAGATAGCCAAATGGGACTATCTTAAACTAAGAAGCTTCTGCACCTCAAAAGAAACAGTGACCAAAATACAAAGAGAGTCTACAGAATGGAAAGGATATTCGCCAAATACATATCTGACAAGGGTTTGATATCAAGGATATACAAAGTACTGGTTGAACTCCACTAGAAGAAAACACCCAACTCATCAAAAAATGGGGTGAGTAAATGAACAGAAACTTTTGCAAAGAAGAAATCCGAATGGCTAAAAGGCACATGAGAAAATGCTCTACATCACTAATCATCAGGGAGATGCAGATCAAAACAACAATGAGATATCATTTCACACCACAGAAACCGGCCCACATCCAAAAGAACAAAAGCAACCGATGTGGCACGGATGTGGTGAGAAAGGGACCCTCCTTTACTGCTGGTGGGAATGCCGACTGGTCCAACCCTTTTGGAAAACAGTATGGACTATTCTCAAAAATTTAGAAATTGAGCTCCCATCTGACCCAGCAATATCATTCCTGGAAATATATCCCAGAGAGAAAAAAAAAGTATAGTCGAAGTGACATCTGCACTTGTTTGTTCATTGCAGCACTCTTTTCAATAGCCAGAATCTGGAAAAACCCTGAGTGCCCGAGAACAGATGACTGATTAAAGAATCTTTGGTACATTTACACAATGGAGTACTATATAGCTGTTAGAAAAGACGAAGTCATGAAATTCACATACAAGTGGTACTACATGGAAAGTATCATGTTAAGCGAAATGAGTCAGAAAGAGTGGGATAGACACAGAAAGATTACATTCATCTTGGGAACAAAAAAGCAAAAAAATGGGAGACTAACACCCAGGAGTCGCCTAGATTAGTACCAGGAATGTTGCTCCATGACTTGGAGGCCAGCCACACGTGCTAGGGGAAAAGGAAGCTCAGATAGAGAAGAGAGCACCAAATAAAGGGTGTTGTGAGGATCCTCCCATGGTGGGAGAAGTTGCTGAAAGTAGACTATAGACCGAACATGATTGCCACTCAATGCCTCTCTTGCAAACCACAGGACCCAGAGAGAGAGAGAGAGAGAGAGAACAAAAGGGAATGCTGTGCCACAGAGGCAGGGTGGGATGGGTGAATGGGGGGTGGGAGGGATGCTGGGACCCGTATTGGTGGAGGACGGGCGCTGGTGGAGGGATGGGTACTTGATCATTGTATAACTGAAACCCAAGCACAAAAATTTGTAAGTCTATAACTGTACCTCATGGTGTTTCACTAATAAAAAATTGTCTTTAATCCACTTTACAACTGAAAAGTGAAACTCTACTCACAGGACATAGCCTGATCACAGGACTATATGTAGTGTGTAGTGAAGTCGCTACAGTCCCAGCAAATCAACAAACTCTCTTCTAGGTCTTTGATGAGCTCCGTCTAGATTTCTGCATCTTGTCCTAGTTGAAACACTTGATAATGTCTTAGGATTCTGTCCTATTGGCTCCCTAGAGCCTGGGTATCCCCCACCCAAGGCCTGTTAGGATGTCTCTGTTCCTGTTCCACGTCCAGTTCCCTGGACACTGGTGGTCTGGCCTATAGAAAGCCTCTCTTCTTTCCCTAATGCCCACAGACAAAGCCACAACCCATCTCTGCACCTGCTCCAGCTGCCTTACCTGATTTAGGGTAGGTTAGCAGCAAGACATCTTCATCCTTAAACAAAAAATTATGCCACTCTTCTGTCATGAAAGCAGGTGTGAAAATCACGGTCGGAAAAAGTACACCATTAATCCTTTTCTCAACAGACATTCTGATTGCTTTCTTTGGAGGAAAGTGTTATCCACAGTTGGAGGTTGCTCCATTTACTGTAAGTTCCACATTATAATTAAGTCCAAACAATCACTAAGGCTGGTGCAAGGATCATGATATTATGCAACTGTGAGGTCACTCAAAAGACATTAAGTGGAATCTGAGTATGAATCTTTTTTTCCAATAATGATAGACTTAATTTATTTCAAGTTCACTGTTTCACTGTCCTCCCTTTGTTCATTGATTTGCTCGAGCTGGTCCAGTAACGTCTCCATTTTGAGACTTGTTGTTACTGTTTTTGTCATATTGAATACGTCACAGGTAGCTTGCCAGGCTTTGCCATATGGGCGATATACTCTCAGTAGCTTGCCGGGCTCTCCGAGAGGGGCGAAGGAATCGAACCCAGCTCGGCCTGGCAGGCTTCACGCAAGGCAAACTCCCTACAGTCTATTTCTTCTCTTTTCTGAATCCTCTTATTTCCCATATAGCTCTATTTCTTTTCAACAGAGAATTTTGTTTTGTCAGTTTATTTGCTTGCTTATTTATATATGCAATTGGAACTGTCCCACAATTATCTTTCTTTCTTTTTTTGTAAAAAATTTATTTATTGAATTACCATGAAAACAGTTACAAAGCTTTCATGTTAAAATTTCGGCCACACAATGATAAAACATCCATCACTTCACCAATGCACATTTTCCACCATTAAAAACCCCAATATATTCCCCTATCCTACCCACCCTTACACCCACCCGTGTGGCAGAAAATATCCACATTACTTTCTCTCTACTTTGATTACATTCAATATTTCTACACCAGTCCTACCATTATTATCCAGAATTTCCCCGCAATACACAGACCTGCCGAAAAGGCAACATTAGACAATTTGTTTTCTATTGTCTAATGAAACATGATGGACACTTAGTACCTATATTGCAAACCATAACATCCAAAAGGAGACAGAATAAACAGGAATATACCTGTCACAGAGTTGTGGAGAGATGGTTATGGGGGAAGGAGGGATACTGGAAATATTTTTGGTGGACAATGGGCACTGGTGGTGGGATAGGTATTCAATCATTGTATGACTAAAATATAATCAGAAAAGTTTGTAAGTCTGTAACTATCTCTCAGTGATTCATTGACAAAAAAGAAAAGAAAAACAAAAAGAGGCAATGTAGAAAAATGTTAAGATAGAAGAGAAGGAGGATGAAGCTAAGGAGAAGGAGGAGGAGTAGGGGGAAGAGGAGACAGAGGAGAAGGAGATAGGGGAGGATATAATGTGAAGATCATCTTGGCTGTGAAAATGGTTTTTTGTGTTTTAGGCCTCATGTGCTTTTGGACCTATAATCAGGGCACCTGCTGATGCCCAGTGACTGAGGTAGGGAACACTGAGACCAATCGCATAGAGCCAACTGGATCCAGAGAGAGAAGCTCAGGCCAAGGGAGTGTTGGGGCAGATCTGATTGTGGTTCCCTAGTCATGTTCCTGAACACTTCTATACACAAAAAAATGTACACACACCAGGGATTCTCCCCTGAAACTGAGTCAGCTTCTTCCAGAAGGGGCTGAGATGTGATTGGAGAGGCATCTGTGACTCAGGTGGAGTCTCTCAGTCACCGAGTCCACCTTCACCTCAGCAAGGCCTGAGTGCACTCAAGTTTCTGCCCTCCTGGCCCTCCTGCCCTCACATCTTTTATTAGTCTTGTTACCACCCAGAGATCTATGCCCTCAACACCTGGCAACTTCCAAGAACACATGGAACAAGTTGTCAAAAAAACAGAGGAAGAATAGTATTAGGCACATCGGTGGGAAATCAGTCTCTTCATTTGAAATCCAATGTTGAGATAATCATCTCAGTTAAATAAGTCTAGCTTAGTTACAATGAAGGCAGCAAAGGTGCAATCAGGCAAGAAGAGAATAAGGAATTATCATGGTTTGATTTCTGTTTGGGGTCCACACCCAGCAGTTTTCAGGGCTTACTATTGGCTCTAAACTCAGAGTTGTGGGAACTTTACAGAATGCTGAAGAGTGAATCTGCATCACAGTATGCAAGCAACTGTCCTAACTGCTGTGCTATCATTCTGGCAACACAAATTATCATTTGTACTGTACTTGAAAGACTCTTGCTGATGCTGCATTGCCCTTTGATCGAGTTCTGTAAATACCCCAGGCCTTGCACTCCATGTACCCGGTAATGTCCTTAAGGTGTCTGTTACCATTATGATGGCTCACTGGTCTGGAACAAGAGAGTTGTGGGGGGATGCAGGTACTGTGTTCACTAAATAACCAGCTTGGGACCTTGTTTGGGGCTGCCAAGGCAACCTTTACACCTGGATATGCCACTGCATTCATCTGTCTCATTCTTTGCCATCAACCCTGCAAAATGCAGGTCAAAGGGGCCAATCCAATTGGCTTTACACTGCCACACAGAACCACTGTGTGTCTTTGAAAATGAAGATCAGAATCAGACACACTTTTTTAGAACATTCTCTGCGGTTTTACTTATATAACATTGTAGAACAGACCAAACAAATCTTCAGTGAAGAACAACAAAAACAGCAGATGGTTAGTGTTTGGTTGACTGAAGGCACAAAATCGGCTTTCTGAGAGGACAAAAAGTTTTCAGCATGTGATTGCTTGTATTACATGGGTTGATCTACTTGGAAAACTTCATTCTATCAAGCAATTATTAAGCGACATGATTTGCATACTTTGAAGTAAGTTCTACTTACTAAAATATAGTAAATAAAGAAAATACACTAAACAGGAAATGGGAGATACTACAATAATATGAGCCTGATCCAGCTCAAATCCTGCCCTCACTTGACTTCCTGAATATCCCAGGTACAGCACCCAAGGCCAGAGAACCACCAGTGTGACCTGGGTCACCCCTGCTCCCAAAGGAACCAAGTAGCACCTCATCATCAGATAATAGCATTGAACTTTAGACACACATTTTTGGGGGAACTAAAACTAGGAACTGAAACCTGGGGAATTTCAAGTATGTGCTCCTTTTGATCCTGACATATCGTCCCCGAGAGCAATGATTTGGAATGAATAAGGTATTTGGAACTGCCAGATGCTTTTTAGTTTGGAAGTGAAAGGCCATGAGAAGAGTTTTTCAAAATCCCCTGAATTGGTAAATGCACATCAATATCAAGGCAGGGACAAAGCTACAGCACAGTGGGGAGGGCACTTGTCTTGCACGTGATCAACCAGAGTTCGATCCCCAACATCCCATGGTCCCCTACACATTTCATCAGAAATGATCTCTGAGCATTGGAGGCAGTCCTTCTCTAGCACCCACCAAAAACATAAAGATGGACGTCAAAGCTAGACCATTCGACCAAGGTATCTTCAGTCTAATATATGATTTTTAAATTCAATTTTTTCTAAAGCTCGAAACCTATTAATTATTCACAAGCCTGAACAATCCCTGGGATATGAAAAGTAGTCCAAGGTCCCCCACCGTCAAACCTGTCCACAGCAAGTTTAGAAAACCACTAGACAGTGTTTTTCAAGCTCTGGGTAAAAATCTCAATCCACTGAGATCCACTCAGCAAGGTTTCCATAAGAAATCCTGCAGAACTGACTCCATCCTGGCATTTGACAGAGAAGTCAAGGCATCATCTCTAATACTATTGGGACAATTTGTAGAGATATGGGCCCTTAGGATGTTTTGCATATCTGTGAGCAATACTGTATCCTAAAATGCAAACTCACTGTCAATGATGGTATTTTTCCAAAAGTTGCTGGACGCAGAAAGATCATGTTGATGTCTCAGGAGAAATGGGCAGGTCATGGATTTGCTCCGTGAATGAAGGAGAGGCTGGAGAACCAGTTAGCAAAGACAGCTGCACCAACAAAGGTTGGTCCTGTGCCTGCCTTCTTGTTTGACATCATTAAAGTGGTGATATTTTCAAGTGGGATACTGTGCTGCCAGCAGGTCAATCTGTACCTGTGAGGCAATTACGTCAGCAGCCAGCTGGTGCCTTCAGACTTCTAGATACCCAAAATTGCTGCTGTGCCTTTGACTAGACCCCAACAACTTTGGACCAAGTTTACCAAGGAAGTAAATGGACAAAAGTTAGGTATTTGAGAGACACACCCACAAACCACCTTCATCTCAGCTATATAATTGTAGGCAAGACTACTCTGGTTCCTGATCAAACTGCTTAAAGGTCATGATCCCAGAGACTCATAAACAAATCTCGGAACCTAGCGGCTTTGGCAGAAATGTGTCCAGTCTACGCAGTAGGTTATTGTCTCCGGGCTACCCCTGGTGGGAAAGGATGCTGTCCCTCCGCCTACTCCGCATTGGAGGCTCGTGGCCGCCGTCCTCCAGATGCCATTGAACAGTCAGGATTGGGCTCACAGTTATGAGACACGAGGGGCCTCACTGGATGGAGGTGTAGCCGGACCCTTCCTCCCCGCCCCCATAAGACCGCAAGTCGTCGCCCACGCAGTCTTTCTGGCTCCTGATCAAGCTGCTTAACAGTCAAGATCCCAGAGACTCAGGAACAAATCTCAGAACCCAGCAGGTTTTGACCAAAATCCCTCCAGATTTAATTGTTAAAATTTTGAGATTGCAAAATCGCATGGCCACTACTGCAGCCACACAACATCATATATTATTTAAAATCAGCAATAGAAAACAAATTGCCTACAGTTGCCATTTCGGCAGATCAGAGTATTGGGGTAAAATCCCAAATAATAATGGTAGGTCTGGTGTCAAAATATTGAATGTAATCAAAGTAGAGAGAGAGAGAGTAATGTGGTAATCATCTGCTCCACAGGTAGTGGGAGGGTGTGGAAAAGGGGTATACTGGGGTTTTCGGTGGTGAAAAATGGGCACTGGTTATGGGCCGGGTGTTTCATCATTATATGACTGAGACATAACCCAAAAGCTTTGTAACTGCCCTCACGCTGCTTCAATAAATTTATAAAAAGAAAAAAATAGTAAGGTGGAGTTCGAACCCAATTCAATCAGCCTAATC